CCCCAAAACCCCAAAACCCCAAAACCCCAAAACCCCAAAACCCCAACTGTATTTGTAGCTAGTTACAAAGTAATTTGAATTTTGAAATTTATACAAAACTATTAGATGTTTTTTAATTCCGCTATCATATCCACAATAACATCAACAAACTCATAACAAAATACTCTATTAATGTGTTTGTCATTTTAGTTTCTCTCTAATATCGAGGAACAGCACAATTTCACTATCATTTCTTATCCTTTTGCTTCTGTCTGAGTCTTCTATCATGCCTTTGCTGCTCCTCCATCCTAACTTTCCACTAGGCTGCGATTTTCATATAATTGTATTTTAGCCAGATTAGATCCTCTCTATATCTCCAATCAGATGGGGCAACATATCTTAATACAGGCTTGAATCTCTCTGGAACATCAGTGTCGATATCCCAGTACTTTTTACCACAAATAGTCATATTATATAGGAAAGATCCATTGATATCACCAATTGGCTTTACCATGTCTTTTATTTTATTCAGATCGCTTATTTCTATGGCGTGTTTTGAGTATAGCTTTTTCGCTGACTTCACAGGGTCTTCGATTGGTTTACAATGATAAATAATGCCAGTAAACTAGTCTCTTTTGCCTGACTCAGATTTTTTAAAGAACCCTGACTTTTTATAAGTACTCAAAATTACTACTGCCTTGTAATTGTTTGTAAGGTCTTCAAAGAATACATTCCCAGCAGCTTCAATAGTTCTATCTCCCATAACGGTTCCTCCTAATAAGAAATCTGGGGTTCTAAATCTAATGTGCTACCCGTCTGCGAATACTATATTGTTTGGACCTCTTAGTCCGGATTTAAGTGAATTTGCTCCCATATTTGCTGTGAATTCGTAATAACCATAGAAATTAAAGCTCTTGTCCTAAGGTTGCATGTGGAAATTTGTGATGGGTGGATGATGCGATGTGTGTTCGCAATATATTTAAGTACCATCATTGAATTCACCTTATAGAGTTTCACCAAGAATCGGGTTAAATGGTTTATATTGAGAACTGCAAATATATAGCCCACTCATTGCGAATGCAATGACCTGTCTGAATCTCTCAAGATGATCGGTGGTATCAGCAGCTTGTCTGAGGAATTTGGGTCCGAAAGACCACATATCAACTATTCTTTAGATTGATGATCTCGGCTCGAATATCTTGATGGGCAGGGAAATATGAGTAATCGTCAAACCCTTGAATAGATTTACAGTAAGCTGCTTTACTACATTCATGAGGACACCTCTCTACCTATCCATTGCTTCCTAATCAGTGCAGACGAGGCCACCGTGCTTTTATTCCTCTAATCCTCGTAATATTTCATCTTTCTTTGTGGGAAGTGGTGTGAGCAATAATTCGTCTGAAAAGTACTTGGGAGGTGGTGATTTCTGCTCATAAGGCTGTCTGAAATCAACAAATGAGTATGGTCCTACTGGGATAGACCTGCTCATTATGTAAGGGTTATCATTTAATTCCTAGTCATCAGGTTCCTCTACCTTCGCAATTTCTATTGGATCAGTCTGAGTTATTGGCTAGTCTGGCTATTCTTAGTAAGTGTCAGTGCCTATAAATTGGGGATCTATAAAAATTATTATAGTTTGATAAAATATTGATGTTTATGACTACCTTGCTCATTGTTCTAGTCTAGTTCAGCGTCATCATCCCTCTGAGCATTATACGAATACTAACTCTGCGTACTATCAGCAGTTTATTCCATTATTAATATATTATTATCTTTATTTTATGATCATTTGACTATATCTATTCCAAACAGTATTTTGCCATGATGGGGTTTTGGGGTTTTGGGG